AACCGTTAGTAAATGAAGATTGTATGTTTAGAACATATAGATTATTAATTTAAAAGTAGTTAGGGTTAGCAAGTAATTTGTTTCAAGTATGTTTTACTACAAAGTCTTAGCAACTTCACTTTTACAAATAGTCCACTTACATCCCTTTCTTTCAAAAGACTGGAATAAGTGCTGTTGAGTAGTTTTTTCTAGTGGCTAAGCAGTGCCTAACGTTGTAAGCATCAACATTGTCTTACAGGCTTGTAAAATCTCTTCCCGAAACAGTTTATTTTTGCTATTTGTAGTGGTTTGTGTTTACGTTAGCTTATTACATTATGGCACTGTAAAATTATATATATATAGTTTTATTGTTCAAGATTCAGATAGTCCAATCCAAACCTGAAAATGAAAGAATAACCATGATTTCATCTTTCAGTCAACAGGCAGAGGAGTCAGGAACTTAATCTATTTCTGTAATGGTTTGTAAACCTGCAATCTCCAGTTTTGAAACACAAGGTCATTTTTGGGGGGATTTTAAGTAGCCAAAACTGGAGTATCCAAAGGGTATTTTGAGCCAAGTCATGTATCAGCCCTGTGTTCGGTGTTGGGTGCCACTGAGTTTGCTGGAGCAGGTCCAGAGAAGGGCAGTGAAGCTGGTGGGGGTTCCAGAGAACGAGTCTGATGAGGCTGAGGGAGCTGGGACTGTTTAGCCAGCAGAAGAGGAGGCTGAGGGGAGACCTCATTGCTCTCTGCTGCTGCCTGAAAGGAGGTTGTAGTGAGATGGGGGTTGGTTTCTTCTCCCAAGTTACTAGTGATAGCACAAGGGCTCAAGCTGCGCCAAGGGAGGTTTAGATTACATGTTAGGAAAAATTTCTTTACTGAAAGAGTGGTGAGGCACTGGAACAGGCTGCCCAGGGCAGTGGTGGAGTCACCGTCCATGGACATGCTCAAAAACAGTGTAGAAGTGGCTCTTCAAGACGTGGTTTGGACGCCATGGTAGTTTGGGTAGGCGGTTAGACTAGATGATCTTCACATCTTTTCCAAGCTTAATGATCTGCCTGACTGAATACAGCATTTTCACATAGCTTGTCAACCAGATCCCAGCAGCATGGATCTGTGATCATACTGAATTTTCAGATGTTTTAAGGAGTTACAGAATGGGCAGCTTTGCTGCGTGAAAGAAGAGAAAATAGAGCCCTGGTATTAGGGAGATAAAGCTTGAAAATGAGACTGATGGCTCTAAAACTAGAATGTGATCAAAGGAAAAACTAAACTGTTTCATATTATTTTATTTTGCAAAGCTGGTCACCTGATTCCTGAATGTCTGGGTTTCAGTAACGGGTTTAAAAGACAGAGAAACTTTTTTTTCCCCTGGAAAACTGTAGTTGTTCTAGTTTCACTGTGTGGCTGTTCCTACCAGAAAAGATTTTTGGGCCAAGGGGTCAAACACACTGATTGCATGTACATATAATCAGAATACTGAAAGCTGAAGTAACTGGTACCCTGCAGCTCATTCCTGAATATCTGGGTTTCAGTAAAGGGTTTAAAAGACAGAGAAGCTTTTTTTTCCCCTGGAAAACTGTAGTTCTAGTTTCACTGTGTGGCTGTTCCTACCAGAAAAGATTTTTGGGCCAAGGGGTCAAACACACTGATTGCATGTACATATAATCAGAATACTGAAAGCTGAAGTAACTGGTACCCTGCAGCTCATGCACTGTGTTTATCCAGTACGTGTTTTAAGCACAGATTTTATTTAGGTCTCTTCTTTTGATTTTGATACTTTAAGAGTAAAACTCATTTAAGATACTTTAAGAATAAAACTCATTTTATCTAATTGGTTTGGACCTATTTTGAAATGAGCAAAGAGCTGAACAAATACACATTTTAGTATCCTGGAGTTGAGTTGGTGAAAATAAAGATTTGTGGTCATAGCTCAGGCAGAAGGAAGAAATATTGGTGCAAATCATTACAAGCGAAGCTTCTTCTGCTTTTCTTTGTGAAGTAAATTGAAATCTGACATTACCTTTGAGATTTTTTTAGTGAGCACTTTGAAGAGCTGTGTAGTGGCAGTGTGAGTTCAGTGCTTAGAAGTTGGGACATCAGCCAGCACTTTCTGATCTGAAATTGAGTTATGGCATTTCTTTTGTCGTTCACTTCTGATGCTTGCGTAGGAAAATAAATCTTCCCTGTGGTCTGAGACAAGGAGACAAAGTGAATGGGCATGGATCAGAACACGTAGGTCTTGCACTTAACTGTCTGATTAGCCAGGCTGATTTTAAACGTAATAATGTCAGGAAGTTTAGTGCCTTGTGCAGCATATGTTCAGAAAAAGTTCCTGTGGCAGAGCCAAGGCTTTTTCTTTTGTTTTATTCCCCCTCCTACACACCTTGTGGTTTAGATTTACATCTTGGCCCTGTGTTTTGTTTTTTAGTAAATACTGTGATTAAGGCTTTTTGTCAGGGAGAAACAAAGACAAATGTGAATATCCTCCTTGCAGACTCTCTTAAATTTCTCATGTGGATTACTGGCTTTTGGTGAAAATGTTTTCTGAGATATGTTCCTGTGTGAAGTACATGAGGAAGACACCCACTGTGTTTTGATATTGAGCATCACTACTTGTTTTACTAGCTTTCTTGATGTTTTCTTGGATTTCCATTTTCAAGAGCAGCATTATATAGGACAATCTTCTAAAAGGTAGTTAAGCTGAAAAAACGTACAAACACATTTGGTATTAAAACCACCAAAGCACTCTGTTTAATGGTGAGTATACTAAAATGACAAATTGGAATTTTCCTCTTTTTTTTTTCCCATCCCTTTGGATGAGCAGTAAAATTTCACGAGATATGTCTTGTTTGAATGGAAACTGGTGAGCAAATAAAAGTGCTTGTTCCATATTTGATGTGAAATACAGCCAAGCTGTTGGACTAGACCAAGCACTTACAGTTTTGCTGTATGGTGTTTTTCTTAATAATGACACAACTTCTGGGTAATTTTTTTTGGAAAATGAAAAGTTGCATGTTGAAATGGTATTATTTGACAGGGAATGTAATGGGTGATATGTTATACATAGGTCTAACAGTTTCAAACAACAATTAAGCATCTTGTGTATTGGACTTCCAGGTTGGCTTTGTCTGCTGCTTCCCTCCTGCTGTACCTCATTACAGATTTCTCTGCAGCTTTTCATGTTGGAATTATTTTGTGTGGGCTGTGTTTCTGGCATGGAAACGGGAAAGGCTGGAGCTTCCTGCCCATATAAACAATAAATCCCCGTAAACTAACTGGGATGGATTCCGCCTGCCTTCCCTGAATACCATCTTTAAAAGGAAGGAAACAGCATAAGAGGGTTTGGGTTGTTAAAATATGATTGACTTCATAGTAGAGCTATTTTCATGAAGAAATATGTAGCAGAGACAGTGCAGTTCTGTTGTTTTACTGCATTAAGTCCTTGAAATACAGATTTTAAAAGTATTTTTGTGAGACCTTGTCAACTGTTGTGATGCATCATCAACTGTGTAGAAGCTTCTCTAATGAATTAATACAGCTATATTCCTGATTACAGTAAATTTTGGCAAGGTGCAGTTTTTCACACATTCAGAGCTGAGGCGTTGTATATCCTACTTTTTTCAAATACGCTGCCCGTGTTTCAGAAAACATCTGGAATTTGCATTCTTCTAACAGTCTGTGAATTAAAACTGATGATTTTTAGCTTATTTGTAAGTTCTGTTATAATCTGGACTTCAGTTTGGTGTCTCTGGTCAGTCACAGATAATGCAGCATGGCTTAACGTGGAGGTTAGGCTGCAGCAGCTCCACATGAACAGTGTTGAAGAACTTGTGTGCCTTATACGTCTGGAACTGAAGTTGCCTCTATGGTAAAGTGGAGGATTTGTTTGTTTAGGGTCGTGCTTCTTTTCTGGTCCAGATAGAAAAATTGTACCTTGGTACTTAATGTAGGTTGGGCCTCTTTGAATACGCAGACTAACTTTTTGTTTTCTGTTCCCTCCAGCTGGTGAGCCTGCTGCTGATTGGAATTGCGGCATGGGGAATCGGCTTCGGCCTCATCTCTAGTTTCAGAGTTGTCGGAGTGGCAATTGCAGTAGGAATCTTCCTTTTCCTCATTGCCTTAGTCGGATTGATTGGTGCAGTGAAACATCATCAAGTGTTGCTATTTTTTGTATCCTTCTTACGTGGATTGCAGCTTGGTTCAAGCTGTGTAAACAGCCTGCTCTGTCAACTGAGACTGATTTGAAAAGTGTTTCAGAAACAACAGGAATTCACAATCTTGTTTTGGTCAGGTGCAATCTAAATTACATTTTCTTCCTGTTTAACTTTATTCCAGCTTCTTTTTTTCATCCTTGTTTGTGCTCGGAAGACAAAAGTATTCACGCCTCCTCATTTTAAAAATTAAAATATTTCCATTTTTTGAGAGCATTTTATGGTGGGCCCCTGTGTCACAGGTGCCTCTTCCTGTGTGCTCTACCGTACACCATGGGTGAGCTATTAATGAGCAAGGTGATACTTCCAGATGGTGATCAGATTGCAGCTGGCAGGGGAATGTGTTGTGGGTAATACAGGCTGTCAAGAATCACTTTCTCGTTGTACCGAGTCTGTCACTGTGAGCCCTGGCTGGAAATGAGCACAGGCCTTCGCAGTGGGCTTTGCTCCTCCTCTGCGCGTACGCTGACACTGTAGAGGCATGTGTGGTGCAGCCCTGCCGTACTGAACGGATCTGTTGGGATAGGAGACTCATCAGAAAATTCGTAGTTTTCTGGTTGTGGTCTATGAATAAGTAACAACATCCAGTTTACAAACAGTTCAATTACGTGAGATAGGTCTCTGCCTCTTAAAACAGTTTTCAGATACAGGAGTCTAAAAGTATGTGAAGCTGTATTCGAAAAGCAACTTTTTTTTTTTTTTAAATCTAGGCTAAAGTTGTCTTTTGCAATTAATTACAAGATTGTCATTGAAGAAAGAAAATTCTGTGTATGCAATACCGAGAAAATTTTCTTTACCACTTTTATTTAAGTGAAATATTTTGGAATAACAACATGAGTCCCTAAAGCTGGAGAAAGTAGCTGTAGGTTTTTCTCTCTCAAAGCTCATTTTGTTCATTTTTGTGCTCATCTTGTCTTGCTAGGCAAGAAGCACCTAACCCAGAAATACCAGCTATGTATAGTAGTACCCAAAAAGAGATAATATATGGTGATTGAGTTCTGGGAACATTATTTAGGTCATCTTTTTCACAGCCAGTTAGAAATCACTTCTACAGGTATTTTGTTTTAAAGGACCTGTTGTTACCTAATGAGATAAGGAGCGCCGTTAGGCATATGTGTTATAAAAGCCAAAGTTATTTTAGAGTGTATCCTTAACTACTATTTCCAGTACATGATTATTCTTTTGCTGGTCTTTATTGTCCAGTTTTCTGTCTCCTGTGCCTGTTTGGCACTAAACAAGGAACAGCAGGTAAGAAATGTTTCTTGGTCTGTAGCATAATACTATAAATATATATGTACAGATACACACATACTTACACTTTTTTTTTAATGCGTATATATAATCTTCCACAAAATGGGAGGGGGGAGAGCATATTTTGAGAAAATCAGCATTATCCTTTTAAATAAGGACTAGATCTTAGGCAGTGCTTGGCTGTGGTAGCTAGAGGGAAATACATCTGGGTTCTAAAATGACTTTCAGCTGTCTTTTTTTAGATTGTTTTGTTTTAGGTTTCCTGTGTAAGTTTATGGTCACAAGTGTAGCAGCATGATACCGTGACTGTGTCGTGTTTTCAGCAGTTCCAGATAAACTTCTGAAATCCACAGTAATCATAATGCAAAGATAATAAAGCCACTGAATTGTTCTTGTGTAACTGAAAAGGCCTTGACTGTGTTAGGAGCATGGGCAGCCTTTAAGTGTGAAAGTAAAACCCGCTTCCATAGGGTGTGGAGACTAATTCTTCCTGCTTAAGAAGCAGGCAAGGGTAGGGGGCTAAATAATCAGCTTCCTGCGTGTGAGCCCACTTCTTGTTTAAAGTCTGAGCAGTCCCAGTTGCATGTCCCATTACTTGTGCTCTTAATGGGTTTAGGAAAAAAAAAGTAGGATAACCACAGATATGCTGCTGTTTCATAAGCTACACATGCTGTTTGTAATTCTTTCATGTATTACGCTGTTAAACTTCGGGGCCTGAAGGTTTGAGTCAGGGGATTGTCAGCTTGGCCTGGTATATTGGTTTCCAGGGAAACGCACAGCAGTTCAATTAATACAACATGTATTTGCTTATGCTTTCTAGAGTCAACTTCTAGAAGTGGGATGGAATAACACTAACAGTGCGAGAACAGATATTGAGAGAAATCTGAATTGTTGTGGATTCAGAGTTTTTGATCCGAACGAAACCTGTTCCTCTGTAAGTTCTTCAAGCGTTAAAAACTTAAAACTTCTTTGTGTCTGTTCAGCTGCGTGCACCTGTTTTCAGGGTTGCAGAAAACGGAGTTTAAGTACTTGCTGCAATGATACTAAGATCTCTGATTAACTTACCTGAAACGTAGTCACATAAGCAGCCTGCAAAGTCATTTATATACTTGCTTTCATGGAGTCTTTGAAAACTGCTCGAGTTTTGTCCATGGCTGCCAGTCTTTTACAGAGCGAACTAGATGCTTTCAATCTCTGAAGTGTCACCAGAAAATGGAGTGAAATTCTCTTGTTTGCATCTCCTACAGGATTGTTTTAGAAGTCACCGGTGTCAACCATGTGCACCAATAATAGAGGAATATTCTGGAATGGTACTGAGCTTTGTTGGAGGCATAGGACTCTTCTTCAGTTTCACAGAGGTCAGTGAGTGGGAAATAGTAAAATCAAGCACTTTCCCTGCCACTATAAGGCTTTGTTTTGTGAAACAATTAATTTAGGGACTTTATTACAGGAACTCTCAGGAGTCAGATAATTAATTAGGCCAAATTTTTCCAACTTGAACAGAATCACTCTGGTATCTGCCCTCAATTTCTCTACTAAAAATGTGAAGGTACTGGTGGGGCGGGGGGAAGGTGGTTGGGGGAATGACAGGATATGAAAATGTACTAAAAAAATAGCCTTATAGTTAAGTGGTAAGTGTAAAATGAAACAATTTGGAGGATATTTTTTTTATAATTGCACTAAAACCAGGTTTATGAATATTTATCATTTGGGGAGAGGGAGGAATAATTTTAGACATGCCTATGAAAAATACTTCGAATTGCATTGCAGACATGATTTTAGCTTTTTTGTTTTGTTCTCTTTGTTGTTAGCTATGAATTCTTTTGGAGAATTTCTGTTTTCTACGTAAGAATGCTGATGTGTGGTTGTGCAATTTTAGCAATAGTAAAATATCCCGTGTACTTGAATCTTCATTGTCACAATTTTATGTTTAAAACATTTTTTTTGTAGAACTGATGGAAAATGGGGTGGATACCCTCTGCTTAATAATATCTTTGGTTTTTGTTTTCAGATTCTGGGAGTCTGGCTGACATATAGATACAGGAACCAGAAGGATCCTCGTGCAAATCCTAGTGCATTTCTTTAATAACTTCATAAAGGACTGAATCTTCTCTCTGTACCCTCTACTTCAAAATACTGATTCTCCTTAATAGGGATGATGCATGTACCCAAAATAAAAGTTTAATTTCCTTCAGAAATCTGTAATTTTCATATTTAATTTTGCACTGTTTTTCTTCTAAGACTCTCTATCTTGAAGTAGACTGGTGCATTCAGGAGGTAGGCAGAGTCAGACTGCTGCTCGGAGCTGGTTAAATAACTCTGTTCTGACTTTGGTAATTGATGTCCTGAACTGTATTCAGTGAAATTTATAGCACTAATGGCTTCTCAGAAAAAAACCCAGAAGTATTTACTGATTACAAAAATGGGAATTATTTGGACTGTATGATTTGATTAGGCTTTAAGATGAGCTCTAGTAAACTTTTTTTGTTTTAATAACGGTCTCCCGCTTTCCTGTTACATTAAAAATAGAAGCTAAAGATACTATTTTAGTCCACATAAGGATGTTAATGACTACTGTAGTCTTCACTTCTCCCCTCCCTGTTTGTTTGACTTCCTGGTAGCTTTAGAATTTTGTTGAGAATACAAATATTTCTTTAGTTTTTTAATTGATATCTTCACTATGAGAACGATGAATGAAGAAAACCAGGAGAATGTAACCTTCAGCTGATTAACTTGAAACTTTTTTTTTCTTTGACAAGTGAATGAAGTTTGATATTTGCACAACATCAAAATCAGTAGTGATCTGTTGTCTTTAATGTAAGAAACTTGGTGTCTTGAAAGTTGTTGTACAGATATATTTTCAGATGGTGTAAAATTATTGTTGTAGTAACTCAGCAGTGTATATTCCTCTGTTGTCCAGCTAACAGTCTTGATTTCATGAGAGATTGAATAATGTGTAAAAAAGAAGAAAAAAAAGGTTTAGAAAAAAAAAGTGGTTTCCAGTAGTTTGGTTTGTGTTTTTTGTTGTTTTTTTTTGTTTTAAAAAAAGAATTAAAGCTTAGAATGGTACATTATCAATATTGTGAGTATTGTGTGAGCTGAAGGAAAGCACGGTCTCTTTTCCAGCCTGTGATGGGAGCGATGCATCAGCTGGAACATGAAGCATGTAAACACCTGAGGCGTGTAACATCCCATTTGTTTCTAATCACAGTGAATTGCAAACCTGCACTGAACCTTTTCTTCGTTCAGTTCCTGCTTCAGTTCCTGCTTTCAGTTCAGCTGCTGTAGCCTGAAAAATGACCCTACAGGAAGAAAAGGGGAGGAGTATTAAAACCATTTTCCAAGGGATACAGCAGCTGAGCAAGGCGGAGGGGAAGGCTGAGCGCAGACACAAGTGGGTTCTCACAGAGTCTCCCGTTACTTGGGAGACGCTTCCTCGCCCCTTCAAAGGAGGCAAAAATAAGTTGAAATTCCTGCCCATCAGAACACTTTCAGACTTTCATGTGCCCAGTGCTCCTAAAGAAGGAATTGTCTCAAGGTTTTAAACGGGAGGAGTTTAACGTGAATGCGTAGGGATGCCAAGAGCGTTGCTAGCCAGCTTCTCTTCTTCAGCATCTGCCGTCAGCGCCATCTCCTGGTGTTTGCTGTGTGAATTACTGCTTTGTGTCTGGAAAAGTGGTGGTGTCTGTTTCAAGCACGTACTTGTACGTTCAGTGTGAGAGCCCACTTGTACTGAAAGACCTTAAGAGCCTCCAGGCTATTACTGAAGTATAATGTAAATGTAGGCAGCTTTTTTCTTCCCCTAAGTGCTGCCCTCTCTAAGCAGCAAACCAGCCGGTTTGAATTTCTGTCAAGAGGACTGTGATCATCTTGTGCTGTGGCTGTCTTTAGTGACAGTTAATTTCCCTAGTCTAGACAGGCTCTGTATTTTTGTACATTACTTTAATAAATTAAAGGAGGAGTCTTACAGAGAGGCTCTGTGAAGTTTAAAATAATGCCACATTGCAGCTTCAGTTTTGACTTTTTCCTAATTGTTTTCAGTGCTTAGTTCTGGATGGATCTTGTTTCATAACCGGGGTAGGTGATACTGGAGTGTAAATGCGCATCACTGAGAAATTACTGAAAATACCTCATGTCTCACAACATGTGAATTTGTTTTAGGAGTCAAAAGAGACAGATCAGTGGATCATATGGTTTGAGTGTAAATGTGCAACACTGAGAAATTACTGAAAATACCGCCATTTCAGAAACTCTCATGTCTCACAACATGTGAATTTGTTTTAGGAGTCAAAAGAGACAGATCAGTGGATCATATGGTTTGATTAAAGTTTTTCTATCATATTAATAATATATTGTCTCTTGTTCAAGATTGTGATTTTTAAAAAACCACAGCCAACGCAAACCTTGAAATTCTCATCAGGGATATGGTCACTGATTCTTATTCACTGATTATTCACTGAAGGTTGGACTAGATGATCTTCAGAGGTCCCTTCCAACCCCTAACATTCTGTGATTCTGTGATTCTTAAGAGGGGCAATAAAACACATTGAGTCTGGCTACTTTTGGGGGGAGAGAGTAGCTACTCTCAGAGGATTTCTGACTCTCCTGTCAGTATACAAGAAACGTTCTGATGTGTTGAAATGGAGCCTTTAAAAAATTATTTATACCTATTCTTGGTAGGTTTTGCCTTGGAAATTTTCTTTGTTCATTGCTTTATCTTTCCTTTTGAGAAGATAGTTTTGGTCATATAAACATTTTTTATTTTCTGGTTGGTTTCTAGAGGGGCATCTTAATTTTTATGTGACTGCTTGAGAATTAGACTTAATTATAACCAGACTTTCTAGAAGCTGTTCACAGCAGCAGAATATCGAAATAACAAAGTGGTTTTACTCAGAGTATTCTTAATGCTTGCATTAGGCATCTTTTGACTGTCGTTATTTGATTCTCATCATGACTGGTAGTAGTATTCATGGTAATAGTAGTGATAGTAATCACTGAGGTTGCCAAAAAGCTGGGAAGATAATGGGGGTAGAGTCCTGGGCAAAGTGTTTCTCACTGGTGCTGCTGCTGAGTTCTTAGATACCTGAGCTTGGAAGGTCTCCTTTCGGTCTAAGCCTTGAGGTGGTGTCTGCTGTCCGTGCTATTCAGCGGCAGGGTTTCTTTTAGCTCTGACTTCCCTTGTCCAGTTTGGGCTTGGAAATAAGCAGTCACAAGGCACAACACAACATGAAACCAGCCCTATACTCAATACAATATCACTTCTATTAGTCATCTCAAGACTTTGCTGAATTCTGACGTAAGCAGGAATCTTTTAAGGGAAACAGACTTTGTCTTTTAAAAAAAAAATCTTGAAGCAGATAAGGTGATACTCGGATAACTTCAGAATGCAGCCAGTTTAAAAATAAAGAAACAAAAACCCTGCGCACATGCAAACAATCCCATCCTCTAGTCTCAAGTAGATCTCTGTAAAAGGTTTGCGTTTCTTGTTATCTAACTGTAAAGAAAGGCCTGATAATGAGAGCTTGCCATGGGTTGGTGCTACAGGAAAAGGAACGGAGGTAAAGCAGGCTGAGCAGTGCAGAGCTTAGCGAGCCGCTGCCAGGGGAGGCAAAAAGCTGCTTTCCTGTACTGGGCTTGGCTGGGTAGTGTTGATATTATTCATGGTCCCTGGTATGGGGTTCAGCTTTGGATTTGTGACAAACTGGTGTTGAGAACACAAGGATGTTGTAGTTATTGCTGCAGTTCCTACAGTCAAGGCCTCTTCTGTTCCTCACGCTGCCCTGTCAGGGGCAGGCTGGGGGGGCAGCTAGGAGGAGTTGGGAGGGGATGCAGCTGGGACAGCTGACCCCACCTGACCAAAGGGATATCCCGTAGCGTATGGCATCATGCTCAGCACATAGAGCTCAGGGAAGAAGAAGGAAGGAGAGGAGGATGTTCAAAGTGATGGTGTTTGTCTTCCACAGTAACGGTTACACGTGCCGGAGCCCTGCTCTCCTGGAGATGGCCGAGCGCCTTCCTGCCCATGGGGAATACCGAATGAATCCCTTGTTTGGCTTTGCTTGTGAATGCAGCTTTTGCTTTACCAATTAAACTGTCTGTCTTTATCACAACACATGAGTTTTCTCACTCTTGCCTTTCCGATTCTCTCTCCCATCCCTCTGGAGGGGAGCTGTGTGGGGCTGAGCTGCCCACCGGGGTTAACCCACAACAGCCCTTTTCCTTCCAAAGTGCTTAGAGCTAAAATTGCAAGCTGTGGTCTCAACACCGATTTTACTCTTTCTCATAATGGTAGATAATAATAAGGAAAGAAAACCCAACAAACAAAACCACAGCAACATTTTGTATGTAAACACTTGAAATGGATTTATTTTAAAAAATCATTTTTACAGTTGGGTCATACAGTAGTATTCTGTATGCCTTAAATTAAAAGCTCCAGCTGCCCAGTACAAAAGTGCTAATGTAGAACTGTAGTGTTTATGTATATAAACCAGCACTACACATCGCTAAATATCACTCTAAATAGTCTCTTCTCCAGTTTCGATGAGTGGCGAAGAGATGGAAGATCAGACTTCATAGTGTTTAAGGGCTTTCTTCTTCCCCTTACAGCTCAGTCTTCAGGAGCTTCAGCGCCTTCTGCATATTTGAATACACTAGAAATGAAATATTCATACATGTTATTTTTGTTGCAGCTTCCTCTGCCAGCAACTTCAAATACCATAGAGAAAAATGTTGCTATTATTAAAACTTTTGGTTGCGTGCCTGTTGCTACACGGGTTCTGATGCACCGTGTGCTTCCCAGTGTTTTGTGAACGTCCTCTGTCCAGTTTGGGCTGGTGAGAACATGCATCTGTTAATGCAGACACGTTGGCAGGGCAGGGACGGGAGCTGTGCAGCGGTGAGGGAGGCTGTAGCAAACAGCCTTTCCCTGCTCCCAAAAGGTTTTCCGACCTGGCCCGGCACGGCTTGTGTGCAAGTGTTCTCACCATTGCTGACAGAGAATGCTGCTGAATTATGCAAGTTCCTACTGACGTATGCTTTCTTTTAAAACAGATGGATGTCTAAGGCTCCAGAGCTCTGCCGTCATTCTCTTCACCTCTCTGAGTCAAAGGCTAGAATCCTGTTTAATTTTAATCCTCGTTAACTGTCTTCCAGCAAGTACTGATTGCAAGACTGTAATGCCTGATGTTATTCCTTGTCGTGTGAAAAATATGCTTGCAGAGTATTTCGGAACACGCTACTTACACAATGAAATGTCAGAGGGCTCGTATGCGTAGAGACGGTTTGAGTATCTTCCAGTAATATCTGCTCTCACAGTCAGGGAAGGATCTGGAAAAAAGGATGAGAGAAGTTGTAGAGGACAGGACTGACCTTCGGGCGGTGCTTCTGCTTCCTTCCTGACTGTTCCTGCAACACGCATCTGCTTCCACTAACGGCCAAGAGATCAGTCTTTTACGCGGTCACTGACGTTTCAATTTTAAGCGTTGGGTGTGCAGGTTTGTCACAAAGGGGATAGGTTTCGTTCTGATCAATGTCGATCAGCCTCACTGTATAGTACCTGAGTTGACTCTGCGAGCTGAGTCTGCTTTCAGGCTACAAATGTATTAAAAAAAAGAAATAAGGAGGGGATAACATTCACTTTGTTCTGTTGAAAGTGGTCATTGTGTCCCACGTTTACAGAGGTACAGGCTAATGATGTGTGTGTGCAGTGTGGGAGGCTGCGGATCTCTTCCGGGAGCAGGAGTACCTGGGTGCATGCAGGGCCACTAACGCGTCTCCAAAACACAGATGCCCCTGAGGAGCTTGTGCAGGTTGGAGAGCACAGAACTGAGCTGTGAAAGTCAGCCCCCGAAGCATCTGGGGTCACTGCTGGTCCTGCCGTGTCCGAGATTGTGATACAAACCAAAACCCGACGGGTTTCTAGGGAGAGCAGGATGAGCAAGACTGAGCCAGTGCCTCCCCGTCCCCGTGACTGTGGCATCATGTCGTTTGGGTGACACGATGGAGGGGGTTAAGTCATTTGTGGAGTCCATGAGGTCGGAAGGCTGGACCTCCATGGGGTTGCTTTGACATTTGATCCAACAAAACCAGCTAGAAACGTCTGATTTCTTGTGGAGTAAATTCCTGTTAATAAGCCCGAGGATTTGAGATGCCTGGTACAGCAGGGGCTTCGATCTGAGATCGGTTTCGATGCGCGAGGTACTCACCTATGAACAAAACCCGAGGGACGTACTGGCCATCAGGTGCAAGGTTCTTGTCTGTGGTTTCGTACTGAAAGAAAACAGAAGGTTCCCAGTCAAGGAGGGTGTGTTACATAAATATTTTTTAATTCGTCTTACGAAAATACAGCTCATATACTGCATTTGGCAGTTTAAGAGATTCACTCTCTGGGATGCGGTATTTTAATAGCTGGAATTGCAAATTGATAACGGTTCATGTTGTTATTGAACTTTAAATTCCCTCCTATTTTGAGTTTACGATAGCTACAGTGAATGAGACTCACCATTAAATCTATTATGCTTCAGCAGTATCCTTTTTCCTGGCCAACACTAGCTATTAAACTGACTATTTATAGCTGGGGAAGGCACAATTAAAAATAGAACTTCATTGCTTTCACTTAACGAAGTGTAACTGGCTAACTTACCACAAGGTTCAGGAGAATGAATTTTTCAGCCAATTTCTGTATATCTTTATGTTCAGCAAAGACCTTCTTGAGGGCTAGCGTGGAAAGAAACGGGAGTGAAATTTTAAAATAAGGCCGTGAAAAACACTGTCCTTGAAAAAGAAATTCAAACAAACTGATAGCATTGAAATGAGAATTTACAGTTTACAGTTACAGCCAGTGAAGATCTTACGTTCATTCCGCTGGAAGATGATCTACTGGTTTATATTCTGCAGTAAAGAGTAATTATAACGGTACAAACCATCCCTCCTTCCTTCAGCTACTGCAGCTCGCTCTGAAATTTCTCTGCTTAAGTTTGAATCTGAGCGTTTGACCCTTCAGGATCAGCTTGCAGGAAGAAGGGCCCTCAGGTAAATACAGAAACACTGGGAAAGGAGCGGTCCCAGTATACCAGAAATCCCACAAGAGCCCAGTTTCAGCCTGGTTTGATTTAGTCCCTGACCGGATTCAGCCTCAGTCATCAGTGACGCTGAGAGCTGAATACGTCTTTTCCGATAAATCATTGTTTTTCGCTGCTCCTGGTCTTGCTTTTGGTTTTGGTCAGTTGTTACATGGACCAAATCCAGATTTGTCACGGGTCAAAACCCGCTGCCCTGTGCTCGCTTCTGTATTGCGTAAATACCATTTTTACTTTATTTCTGCACATTGGAAAATACCTTCTTCATTGAAGAATGCTCCCTGGGCTTGTGCAAGTTCGCATTTCACAAAGACTTTACTCAGCGAGCAGAACTTTTTTTTTTAGCAACATTTATCAAGAAACAGAAAATGAGATAGATTTATTATTATTATT